TTGAAGCATACATATTATTACTCACTCCAAGAAAGATTTTTTGCTACTAACGTCAATGATAATGGTGATTAGAGTCTTTTTTGACAGAAACTTCAAGAAAAGCTATAATACTTTCTGTAGAGATTATTTCGTTTCAATTAAGTATTCACAATGTAGAACGCATAATCTCCAATCTTCAACAATCAATTTACCAGACAATATTGATACAAATTAGTAAGTATTAGTGTATATAATAATCTTTTTAATAAGATGGTTAAATTAATTTCAAATATGTTATTAAAATTAAGTTATTTTATTTGCAAAAATATTTTTATTTATGATTCATTAAAGGTAGGTAGCTCCACACAATTTTCAAAGATCTTTGGAATTAGATATACATTTAGTTTCAATTATTAAAGGGTATGAGACAATGGGTAGTAGCTCAAATGATGATAATAATAATATCAATAATGGCTAGATTAAGAAAAGATTGGAAAGTATGATAATGCACAAATATATGGGCATGAACTCATACAGAAACATGCATTTTGTAATGGTAATATAGTAGAACAAATGATTAATAACAAATGATTAGTTACTAATAACGATTACATGCAATACAACCAAACAACATAGAAGTAAGATGAGCATATTGATTTCGATGATTCTAGTGAGCAAATGAAATCTACTCAATAAGGATTTATTCCATCTGAACTTATAGAAGATATGTTCATCCATAATAAAAATAAACTTCAATGTGTGATTGATGGTTGGTCAATTCTTAATAAAGTCGAGTATAAGATTATTAACTCAAATAAGACTGTGCAAACAGTAATATGTTTGCAATATGATCACCCTACTAAATCATGTTTGTAGCACCTTCACACTGCTATTATAAATCTTTAGGGGGTGCTTGAAAAATGTCTACCATAACGATCTAACATAGTTGCACCCTATCTGATATAATGTCCAGACACAGGTAATGTACATCCAAGTTTATTTTACTTTTTATTTTTCCATTTATCCGACAACAAATGAATCTAAAGTCGAAGGTAATTAATGGTTGAATTGAATTTAAATTTAACATAAGAATATCATACATTAAAGCACGAGATGCAAGAAGAAAAGTCTATTATGGCCATTTTCAATAGTTGGGAAGAGTAATATCGTTTACTATATAGATTTATGAAAACAATTTCAAATGCAATGTTAACATTTGTTTATAAAATATATTTCGGATCATCAAACCATATCTTAAGGCTTTTTTGAGCTTTTGGTTCCCAATTATAGGATAGATTCACTATCGACCAGTTATCGATGTCGATGAAACATTTTTGTTGGATAAATATAGAGGTACACTACTTATTGTTGTTGCTATTAATGCTAACAATGATATATGATATATTTTCATTGACATTTGTTATTGTTGAGTCCGAATACAATGATTCATGATGGTGGTTAACACAAATCCTAAATGACACAATTCCAACAATTTCTCAAGAGAAGACGCATGCATTATCTCAAATCGGCATGTTAGAATTGTGCGTGTTTATCGTAAAATTTTTTCTTGGTTTGCACACAGATATTGCCTATAATATTTGCGTGAAAATTTCAAGAAATTCCTTCGTAGCATGGGGATTTCAGATATTGAGATAGTTTGTCTAAATATGTATTTGGTCGGTAATACTGATGATATATATGTTTTTAAGTGTCGCATGACAAACATAAAATATATTAAAGTAGAAACAATGGATTGGCTTATGCAAAAAGATTCAGCCAAATGGAGTCTTTTTCATAATGACAGATTTAGATATATTGCAATGAAACAAATTCATCAGAGCGTTTTAATAAAGTACTTAAACATGTTAGAGGATTTCTGATATAAGCTCTGATATGTTGCATTTATTATAACATTGTAAATTTATTTTTGAAGAGACATTCAACTAAAATTACGATGGATCAAAAAATGAATCAAATTTCTCACTAAAGATAATCAATTTTCTACGAAGATATGAGTTTGGAGCTAGGAGATTGTCAACAACAAGTTGTATAAAGATATATGAGTATGAGGTCTATGATATTTTCTGTTATGCTTAGATTGATGACATTCAGGAGCCATGTGTTCTTGCATTAGACCTCAAATATTTCATATTCCCTGTTCACATGTTATTACAGCATTATGATATTATTAACTTAATAACAATGCATATGTTTCACAATATTATTCTATCTAGCTGTATTATCGAGCTGCTCCCACCTACTTTTAAAAGAAGCTTTGGACGACCACAGACTAAGCACTACACTTCTATCTAGCTGTATTATCGAGCTGCTCCCACCTACCTTTAAAAGAAGCTTTGGACGACCACGGACTAAGCGCTACACTAATACTATGGATGAGAGTAGAACACAACAATAGAAATTGTGGCTTGTGTAAGACAACGTAACCTAATAAGTATACATGTCCACTTAACCGTAGGAATATATGTTTAATTTCTTTAAATTTTTTTTTAAACAAATTTTATTTTATTTAACTTCATTGTATATACTATTGTAAAGTAACAAATAATGTATGTGCAAATATTATGGTTGGGAAGTATAGTGACATGCTCACGGATAATGGATTAGCATATATGTGGCAAGTCCCGAACAATTACATTCTTACAACTCGTTAATGTTTTGTTCAATTTCTTTTAGTTTTTTTTGTAAATCGTTAAGTTTTTGCAAACTCCTAAAATATTTTTCTCTTTTAAACAAATAGTTTGGATATTCTTGCAACTTATCTGAACTATGAAGTTCTTGTATATTTCAAATTATTATTCTTGATATGTTTTAGTCGATTTTTAATTTAGCTTGAGACGATGTTATTTTTTTGTTTGGTATATAATAAATAAGATAACTCTTAAATTGAGACTACCATTGTTGTTGCATATAGATGTCAAGTAATTTATTTGAAACTACATAATTTTTTTTAGTTTGGTTTTGTATTTTATATGTTATTGACACATATTTTACACACAGTTATCATGAAAAAAACGATAAAGACATCATCTTAGAACACGGGTCAGTGATCGCTATGGCCCCCCACCGGTTGGCATTTGTCCTAGCATTGTTGCATTACTTTGATCACATCGAACTACACACTCTAATGCAGTAGATTCTAATTAGCATTCATCTTAGAAAATGTAGCCAATTTTTACAGCCAAATATTTATTAATATCTTGAATTCAAGGGATATGATTTTAGAAGTTGTTTCACATTTGTTCATGGCTAAGGAGTGGCAGATTACATATCCTTGATTCAAAGAGAGGTTTCAGCAAGTAGGTTTAGATTGAATCAGTCATCTTCATTACATCAAGTTGAATCATCATTTACTTCTCGCTCTTGTAAAGTGATAGGCATGTGATATCAAGACATTTCACCTTTATGTGGTCGAGATGACTATTACCCTACAAGATATTGGGATAATACTTAGTTTGTACATTGATGGATCTCCTCTACTCAGACAAAATGTGATTGTACTGGGGGTATATGAGCTTTAAGTTCTTATAAATGTGACAACCGTCCAGATGATCATCTGACAGAATGTGTTGTCTATCACGACCCTACTAATAAAAACTCACATCAATATTTTGAATGGGTAAGACAAAGGGACGTATTTACATGTCACCCAGATGGCTGAGATGGATTTTCTATCGTGAAGCTTACATGGACTTAAATATTGCCTTTAAGAGGCATATTCATGCATATATATTTTATTCATACTAGGTTGATTTGTGATAATAGAAAATCTAGAATTATTTATAAAATAAACATAGGGTGGTGCAGTTTTAGTTCATCTCTTTCAAGAAATGAAACTTGCTATGAAATTCAATCGGGTGAATATGATCGAGTATCCATATCTTCTATAAATTTGGAGTTAGAAGCGCTGACATGTAGGTCAACCAACACCTCATATGTCACATTCTCAGTCCTTATAAGGCAAGAGTATTAGCTTCAAATAAGTCGTGTTTGGTCTTCAATTAAAAGCAATATCTGTAGGTCAACCAACACCTCATATGTCACATTCTCAATCCTTATAAGGCAAGAGTATTGGCTTCAAATAAGTCGTGTTTGGTCTTCAACTAAAAGCAATATTTGTAAAGCTTCCTAAATATCAAATTACACATGAAATGATATACACATTCGAGAAATTCTAATAGCGATCGCACGAGTTTACAGGAATGAGATTGATGGGTCTAAAAATAAGGTTAATGCACTCAAAAATGTGAATGTAATATTTTATATATCACATTATTCTTGACAAGTGATATATTTAGTTGAAGTGTGTTTAATAATTAGAATATATGTGAGTCTTGCACTCAGTAGATTTTGGTCCAAGTGGCTAATATATGCATGACGGGAAACGAGATTTAGCAAGCTTGTGTTCCATTGATTCACTTGAGAGTTGAGTGACACTCATGTCGTGCAATAAATTGGCAAGATTCAGGTAATAGACAAGGAACCAATTGAGGCTGGATTCACACAGGTAAATGACAGAGGAAAATAAGATATGAATTGGGCTATATATAAATAAGGGAAAGCAATCATGCTTTTATAGTCCACCATGATAATATATATATTGACCAGGATCAGACACGTAGGGAGTACATGTATTGGTATAGATCATGGGTTTCCCTATTTTTAAAAATTTAGCCTCTGAAAGATACTGAGGACTTTATTAACTCAAGAACTATTTAAACAAGAAACAGCATAAATCACTAAAAAAAAATAACAAATGCTTGATTCGTTCAGATCAAAAGTAACAGACAACAGAAAAGAGAAAATCAAACTACGTCACAGTGTAAAGATACAGTTTCATACAACTACAAAAATTGTGAAGGCGTTCCCCTCACATAAAACAAATTAGGGAGATTAGTATAGCAGCGCTCAGATAAAACTATAGCGAGGAAGATTTACTGTGAAGGAAAACAAACTATCAAAATAAAATGAAATAAAAATACCCGTATTAAACCAAAATATACCTGGCCCTCCTATACCGATTACCGAGCTAGGGAGGGGTTTGGCATGGATGACGATTAGCTTATAATCAGCGCCAAGTGGGGAAACATTGCTCCCGCCGAAAAAGAAGCGGCGGAGGATCCATTGAAGCGCGTAGAAACTGTGCTCGCTGTCATCAATTCCAACCACGATCGCCCCTCTTTTCAACTCTGCGCTCCCTTCCGCCGCTTCCGCAGCCATTCTACCGATTATCCGGCGATCAAATCAGAACCTAATCGGGACGAATGTGCGCTTTAAAAGCGAAACGAAATATGTGGAACATGCCAGGTTCGTCTTATGGTGGCAAGATTCTTCCTATTCCTGAGTGCCAACTGCGATTCGGGGAGAATTTTAAACAGTTGCGACTGAGACATGCTCGTACTATTTTTTAATACTATTTTTTATCTCTCTCTAATACATTTATTATTATTATTCAAAATTTGTCTTTGCCCTTTTTTTTAATATTTTTGTGTAGTGGTTGATGCGAACGAAATCATCAAGAATATTAGTTTATTTCATCATATTATAATCTATACATAAGATTAAAAGGTGAATTTCATATCATCATTCTTTTTATTGGTTGCAACTTGTAAGCCATTTTTTGCATATTGGTTAAGAGATTAGGTTGTTCACGAAGTGATCTTTAGCTTTATTTAAATTCATCTTCGTAAAATTGCTTCTGTTATGGCCCAGCACTACAAAAATAACTCATTTCAATATATAAATATGTTATTAAAATTAA